CACTGCAGAGGATCCATTGGTGAGCAAATGATATCATGCTAAATTTCTCCAAATCTGGTCTGATGAAGAAACAAACTCATCTACATCTTGAATGATCTGAGGGTGAATACATTTGCACCAAATTTTCATTTTTGGGTGAACTATTCCTTTAATAGGTAAAAGGAATCAAAATATTTGCATTTTGGCTTTGATAGAGCACCTAGATTCCTACCTGCTGACAGGCCCTCAGCCAGTTCTACATCATCACTGTAAGACCCGGGTCTGCAAATACACAGATTTAAAGACTGCAATGCATCCAGATGTGTCACTTCATTACAGTATTGAGAATCACCGTAATAAGAATGAAATGTAACATTTCTTAATGCAAAAGTACATTTCATTTTGCTTTTGGGGGTGACCCTGACATGTTCTTAAACATGTTGTCTCACCTGGGCCTGTCCACCGGTACATTATATCGATTCAGGATGTGAGTCAGTGCACTCATCGCCACAGCAAGAGAGCGATTCTGCATCCAAAAGCTGTACTCTGTTTCCAGTGCTGGCAAAACCTGCCTAAACACACACAGAGCACATGCGGTGCAGAGGTGTTGTTCAGAGCGGTTCAGCGCAACACCTCGATATTCAACAAAGCTGCAGGAGGGCAGTTTAATCGGAAAGGTTACCCGAGGAAGTCTTTGTCTCCGGTGACCTCATAGAAGCTTTCCACCATTAGGGGAAGGAAGGGAGGCTGACTACGCCGCTCGTAATAAACACGACCACCGTTTGGGACAAAGCCATATCTAAACAGAAGTGAAGGGAAACAGTAAGCGAGTGTTTCACTGCTTAAGTCATTTTGTATTATTAAGAGTCGAGAAAGAAAGCTTGTGCATTTCTTAAATAAATATTATGAGCTGACGCAATCATTCTTAGTTCAACCCCACAAAAATAAATGAAATTTTAGAACACAGATTATACAGATTACGTGATGGTGAATAATGAATTTCATTTAATCATTTATGAGTCAAATATCTGTTATTTAGTGGTAATGTTTTGAAATCTTGAAACTGAACATGTGAGGTGTTTTCTATTTGTATGTGTGAAAATCAAGACAAATAAGTGCACCTTTCCACCAGGTACACAAAGTTCAGAATCATTCCTCGAGCTGTGTCTGTCATCTCAGACAAAAGGAGACCGTTTATTACCCAATATGAGTCCCTGAAGAACAAAAACACCTTGATTATTACAGTTCCTGAAGAAAACATGAGTGGTCTTTGCCAATGCAGAACTAATCATTATGATGCTGTGGTGTTGTGGGAAGTTGTCAGGGTGCTGCTATGTGTTTATTAAAAATACAAATACAATCATTTGACAATTTTTTATTTCTGTTCTCTGATAAACATTGTTCAGGGCTGCCATTCCTAAAAGCTTTAATGCTTTATGATACTTTTGGGAAACGCAGCCCTGTTTGAATGCACTGTCAGCAGTGAGTGAACGCTCTCTGTGATTGATTGGTTCTGTCTTGCAACATTTGCGTGTGTTCAGATGAGCAGGAAAATAGTTATATCCTACACAATTATTCGCTAACAAAGGTTATTCGTCCAATTCAATGCATATTGTACGCATTATTATTATTATTATTGTTAAATAAACAAAACCACTGGTAAATAAAGCGCACCTTAGTATCGATATTTTTTGTTTGAGTATCGATACTTTCGATACTCGCGTCAGTATTGATATATCGATACTTCGGATCGATACGCCCATCCCTAATTGTGAAAGGGAATGCGGGGAAAAGGAAGGAAGAGGAGTGTGGGGTTGCTCTCCTTCCCAGTTCTAACACTCTGCTCAATAAACGTTTCTAGCGGTCACTATATTGTCAAGTCCATCGTCTTTATTCAGATCAAGAGAGACTAACCAGTAATAGAGTTCCCTAAAGCGGCCACGATGACTGGGTGTGGGGTGTAAATCTGTGAGTACAGCTCTGGGTGGTCTCTGACATCACCACGGATCTACACAGCCATAGTAAGAAAATAAATATTAGTTAGCCGTACACACTCCCATACATTAGTGAAAACCAACCTTTACCTATCGACCAAGGGACTTCCATAAACCGTGCAGCTCTTCAGCCCAGCTGCGATATTTTGAGTCAGACACCCTGGACAACAATTTTGGTCTATGGACTAGGGAACAAAATGGATGCGGTTTCATTAGCATTCACCCAAAAGTGAAAATTCTGTCATCATTTACGCACCCTCGGGTCATACAGTTCCTGTCTCTACGACTTTCTTGGAACCCCTGTGCTGTCAACACTCTCCAAGTAAAGTAATTTTCATTTTTGGGGCGAACCATCCTCATACTATCCTGCCATTTCAAGACATTTCCACTCCAAATGTTCTTACTCTGAATGCCAGTCTGGAGGAGACCACTGCTCAAACTCCTTACCCGGCTCTTCAAAGTATGTTTGCAAGAACTTCTGTAGCTCTGAGGATGGGACGGTCTTATTTGGGAACCCTGAGCTCAGATTGGCAAAAGCCTTCACAATGACCTCTACAGGAAAGCAAGAACAGAACAGAGAGAACAGGAAATCACAGGCCTAGAGCTTTTCAGATGGGCATCAGAACAAATCAAGCACTGCTTGACTCGCCAGCAGCTGTAGTCAACATCATATCTACAAAGTACTTACCATCATCAAACAGTTAAGCCATCTGGACCCGTCGTAGGACTTCTCCAGTGCAGCAGATTTGACTGGTGGCAACAAACACATGTCAGGCATCTGATGCACAGAACAACAGGGCAGTTTGTTGGTCTGCCCACTTCTTGTCTGGCTTTCACAGGTTAAGCTCGTAAAACCGAGATCAATAACTTTCTCTCTACTGCTCTTCTTTGATGAAGGTTCAAAGCTCACGATCTCAGCATTCAACACTCCACCTGCTTTGTCACCGACTCAAAGTTCACCCATAATGAGAAAAACGTCTGGTGGCTGGTGAAGTCTTTTATAATACAGCGAGGACCATCTTCAAAGCTCATCTTTCATAAGGAAATTCACAAATCATTTCACATAATCCAAGTGACAAACACAGATTTGCACGTGTTTATATCCAAGTAATAATTACTAAAATATTCATCTCAGTGTTAAAGGTAGCCATCTCATTGGATAATGCAGATAAGCTGCTCCGATTTCAGTAACGAAGCCTTGATTGAGAAGGTAGTTATGGGAACTAACCTGTCTAACAAGGTGCCAGGAGTGTGTCCCCAGATGAGAACAGGAGAATGAAAAGTAAATAAAATAGTGACTAATAAATAGACAGTGCACTATTACTGTAAGTGGTCTTACAAATGGAATTCATCACGTTACATTCCTATATCAACACAAAGTGGGTTCTCCGTCATGAGAAACTCAGTAAAAAGACACCTTAAACACATGTGGAACTTCAGTGAGCTTTATTTTCAAACAAAAACCATCACAGATGTTAACCATTGCATTTTTACACATCTCAAATCTTTAAAATTGTAGCATCACTGAGAAAAAAATGCCAATTGAAATGGTCCAGATTGAAAACGAAACAAACAAAAAGAAAAGAAAAAAGAAAACCACTTTTGATCTCTTAAATTTGGTTGGTCATTTTAATCTGAAGTACCTAGAAGTTAAGAAAAGAAAAAAAATACATAAATCGCAAATTTAAGGGCAAAGTTTAGAGATCCAATTTTCCTTACCCTGAACTTCCAAATTGATCAGAATTTTTGAAACCAATTCTCTCCATTTCCCTCCCACCCACTAACCCAGACTGATGTATTCATGTACTCCCAACACTGAACAGAATAAGGTAAAGTGTTAGTCAGGAAGAGATACATCAGGGCAGCAAAAAAACCTTCCCACCCACCCAAATACAAACTTAAAAAAATAAATAAAATAAATAAATTTGAAGAACGAGTGGATTTTAAAGATGACAATTTTGTATGCTTTAGAAAACTACACTTAAACAGGTGAGATGTTCTCCACCCCATTCTTCCAAATAAAAGCAAGCAGAACCTAAAATGAAATCAAAACCCCAACCAACTTGGCAAAGACCACAGCACATCCAATCACATGCTGCTTTACAGCATCTCAGGAACGAACCGTGATTTTCACAGCAAGTGGTTACTGAAAAACACTGGGCTGCTGCCAAAGAGCCCAGTAACTTATATACTCCTCTCTATGGGCAGATGTTTACAATCCCCCAAAAGAAATCAAAGCAGATTACACTGGTGATGTACACACCGAGGGGTATGTGCTATAGAGAAGAGAATACAAGCTTGGATTCAAGCAATGTCACTGGGAAAATTTGCACGTTGTAGAATATGGGATAAATAAACTTTGCTTAGAATTTGGTAACTAACCATACAGTTAGAACAAACTTTAATTGTATCAGGGAAAACTAACAGCAACATGCCGCAGTAGACAAAGCCAATCCATTAAAAAAAAAACTAAAAAAAAACAAACAACAAAAAACTCACCTGTATTTGACTTTTTTTATGGGGACATTGGTGATGTTAAACTCCAACATAAAATTAAGCTAATTCTGTACCAATAAATCACAATAAAGGCAAAACTGTATCCCTCCCAACCTCCCTCCAACCCACCCCATAAAGTTGCAACCCTCAAAACATCACGGGTCAAAACGCTTAACTTATTCAAAAAGCAGCAGAAGGGCTAAAGTGTCTCAAGCAAGCCCCTGTCAATCCTTAGAAACGGGGGAAAAAAAAAAATTTCACTCAAAAAGGCTATTAGTGTTTGGGGGAGGGGGCGATAAATATTCCGCTGCAAAAGAAAAAGTAATTTGGTTATCAGCACCCAAGAAATACCTAGATACCCCAAATACCCAGCCCATAATAAATACCCTTGTCCCTACCACAATACTTCCTCAAAAAAAAAAAAAAAAAAATGAAAAAAAAAAATACATCTCCCCTTTTATTATTGCCCAACCCTTGAACTAAAGTTCAAACTTAAGTGCAGCCCACACTGCAAAGGTTTAGATTCTTCTGTTAAGTCTGTGCAGCATCTCAAGAACATGGTCTTGTTACAAAAAACAACAAAAAAAAAAGCCTCCTGACTCACGATGCACTGCATGTCTCTGCCGCTACATTGTCAGTCCATCGTTTAGAAGTCTTGGCATCCAGTTGCTTTTTTTTGTCCATTTTTCCTTTTTCCAATGTGAACATCCAAGCCATTCAATCCTCCCACCCCAGTCTGTTTAAAGTCAAGTCCTAGTGCCAGTGGCAGAGAAACACATCCCCATGTAACAGCTACACATCTCGCTTATAAATTCAACATTTTTGCACGTTGCCAATTTGAGCTGCACTGCAGCGAGTAGCTCTATTACATGATGAAAATATTAAATTACCTCTATGTTTAGAGTCACCCAGGCTAGGGGACCCTGCTGAGTGCCTCATAAGTCAGTGTTACAAGCAAAATGCTGGAAAGCAAATAAGCCTCATTTTTTCACAACCCTTAAACGAGGCCTTTTATTTGAGCAACCCATTTCAGGAACTTTTGTCAACACTGGGGAACGGATCAGAGTTAATAATTTAGAGTGAACAAGTGCACCACCTGCTGAAACGCTTAGAAGCTAACACTCAAAACTGCTGAACAAAGTATTCTTGGATTTAAAAAAAAAAAAAAGCCAATTTTTTTTGTTATAACAAAACAAGGGTGGTGCACTACCTGGAGAGGCTTATACTCTGCTAAACTTATTTCCCACTGGGGAAAAAAGGGCATAACCAAAATAGTGCCGCCCAGTGCTGACAGAATCCTGATTTTAAAAGATCTTTCCAACATTCTTCTCAAATGGTCATCAAGCCTTTTTAGCTTGTTTTAAAACAATCCATTAAAAAATAATAATAATAATAAATGAAGTATTTACAAAATGTTTACAATGTGCCAGATCTGTATAAATGGCACATTTAGGACAGAATGCCTATCGCACTGAAATCAGGAGGAAAGGGGAGGGAAACAAAAAAGCAAGAAGTCCACATTCGTCTCAAAGTGGGAGTCCTCATGGCCAAGGAGAAAGGCTGGTCTGAGTCTGGTCAAGTCTCTTAGTGTTGGCCCACTGAAGACAGAGGGGGAAAGAGTTATGGGTCTCTAGAGGCATGGCATGTTCCATGAGCGGATGAAGGAAAAAAGCCATTGGGAGCCTTGTGGGGCTTTTGAAAGCTTGCCACAGGAACATTAGCCCCTATTATTGTCATTATGCCAACTGATATCATCTCAGTTCTCCAGGGGGCTTCTCTTCACACCATAGTCAAGTACACAAGAGACTGCACAAATCGCACATGCTGCCCCATCCTCTCTCCAGCTGTGAAATCCTGTTCTTCATCGCCCCGAAAATCTAGAGGTGGCAAATGCAAAATTATTCTTCTGATGTCAAACGGGAGGGGGCAGACAAGCAATACCAAATCCAGAGAAAAATCAAGACTATGTCTTCAAATGAAGAGTTATGAGGGGAGAAAAAAAATCATCAGGTTATTACTTTTTGAACAAGTTAGACTGCTTGTTAAGGCACTTGTTTCAAATGACTAGAAACATGAAGATGAGCAGAGGAACAGAGAGAGAGTGGGTTGAGAATGTGCTTGCAGGCGATGAGTAGTCATTTTTTTCTTGGGTGATAAATCCTCATGTCCCCTCTTCCCCTCAAGTGATTTGAAGTCTTCGGGATGAAAATATTGGTGCAGCAGTCCTTTAGTAGGCCATGAGTCCTTCCCGATTATTGGGCCGTCACAACATCACATTCCTTTGTAGTGGCACCAAACAAGAAAGGAAAAAAAAAAAAAGTGTGGGAAAAGGAAGACAGACGGAAGATATATAGTTTAAACGAACCAAAAAATATCCCCTATTCCCTAGACACAGTAGGGAAGGAAAAAAAAAAGGTGGGGATAGGGGACAAAGGATTGGTGATCTGGATCGGGTAGAAAAGAAAAACCATGTTAAAATCAAACATACATGTACATTGTAATCTCTAAAGTGACTGAACATTGGACTCACCTCTCCTGCTCACAGTTTAACCTCCTCTCCACTCTCACTGTGGTACTCGGCCACATATAGACTCTTATCAATACTGCTGGGAATGGGCTTGATTTCGGTACCCAGCTGTTCTTCAATACCTTTCAGGTTGAAGCGGTCATCGTAAGTGATCAAGTTAATGGCGAGACCCAAGTGTCCAAATCGGCCTGTGGGGGGAGAAGGCCAATGTCATTTAACACTGCTACCCTTTCAAAAGCCTGATTGCCAAACAGTGATATTACCAATGCAACATTACTTGATCTCAAGAGCAGGAATCAAACGAAACCCTACTCACCAGATCTGCCAATGCGATGGAGGTACGTCTCCCCAAGTTTGGGGAAATCAAAGTTGATCACCACATTCACAGCTTGTATATCAATTCCTCTTGTGAAGAGATCTAAACAGAGAAAAGAGAAAGCAAGTTCTAGTTTAATTATGGATGTAACAACTCACTCAACTCGAGATACGATTCGGTTCTCACACGATTTTAACAAAATGATTCAAGAAATTCTAAATGAAATTAAACCGGCAGACGAGCTGAATGAATATGCAAACTCACTATGACAGCAAATGCCGCAATATAGCATTTCCTTGGTTACCACTGCACTTATATGATGCAATATTTCTTTAAATATATATTATAAAAAGGCAAGATGAAAAGAAAATACCATCAAAACTTTTCTGAAGACAGTCAGTTCCCCTCAGAGTTACATTCATATAAACCCCCACCTGTTATCACAATTTGTTTAACATCTCAACTGACTTGAATGTCACATATTTGTATTGATTTTCAACTGGCTCAGGGTGTGCCATTACATCCCCAGGTTTAATACCAACTTTGATTTATGGTGTCTATCGTAAATAAGTAAACACAGGGTGTCTACAGATATGAACAAGTTAAATTTAAGACCTAAGACCTTTTTAATACCACCTTATGTGAAATTTAAGACCAAACCTGTGACGGAAATACACATATTACATACATAAGTAATATTTGTGACCCTGGACCACAAAACCAGTCATAAGGGTAAACTTTTTTACATGGAGATTTATCATCTGAAAGGTGAATAAATAAGCTTTCCATTGATGTATGGTTTGTTCGGATAGGACAATATTTGGCAGAGATACAACTATTTGAAAATCTAAATACTGAGAAAATCGCCTTTAAAGTTGTCCAAATGAAGTTCTTAGCAATGCATATTAC